ATTACATTTGGTGGACTCCTTAGGATCTTCTTGTCTTGTTAGAATTTCTCAGATTGTCCTCATTTTAATGTCCTTGATGACTTTGATTGGTCAAGTATTTTGTATGTGGGTTTTTTTTTTGTTTTTTTTTTTTGAGAGGTTTTTGTTATAGGGCACGTGCACTCACCAGATAGATAGACAGACAGAAAGCAAGAAATCACCCCCCAGGGGGGATAGCCATGCTGCAATTCCTTCTCCTCCAATCTCCTCTGGGGACCTTGGGTATGCATGCACACACACATGCCTGGTGTGAGTTTAAGCCACCAAGTCCAGGACTAGAACCACGGGTCGACTACTTGGGAGTCCAGTGATGTAGCCATTATGCCATCTGCTGGCCCCCAGGTATTTTGTATGATGCCACTCTATTGGAATATGGAGTTTTAGGGGGAAGATTTCCAAAGTAACATGTCATTTTTTTTTTTTTTGAGAGGTTTTCGCTATAGGGCGCGTGCGCTCGCCAGACAGACAGAGACATAGAGACAGAAAGCGAGAAATCACCCCCCAGGGGGGATGGTCACGCCACAATGCCTTCTCCTCCCTTCTCCTCTCGGGATCTTGGGCACGCACGCACACGTGCCTGGCGTGAGTTTTAAGCCACTGGGTCCGGGACACAAACCGCGGTCGACTACGTGGGAGTGCAGCGACATAGCCATTATGCTAACTGCTGGTTCCTACATGTCATTTTCATTTCATCACCTCAAGAGTACCTACAATCAGTGTGACTGATGATTATTGGTGTTGACCTTGAACACCTGGCTGCAGTGTTTGTCAGTTTTCTGGCGTAAAATTGCTCCTTTCATCCCACCTCATCTCCTTTTCCTTACTACTGTGCTGCTTGGAAGGAAGTCACTTTAACAAGTGGGGTGTTATGCTCCCTCTCCTTTACGGCAGAGTATCTACATAACTAATTTGGGATTCTTCTGTACACGGATCTGTCTCTTCCTTTTTTTTTGGGAGAGGTTTTTGCACATGCGTTAGCCAGAAAGGACAGAGAGAGACAGAGAGACAGCGAGAAATCACCCCCCAGGGGGGATGGCCATGCCACAGTCTCTTCCCTCGCCACAGTCTCTTCCCTCTTGGGATCTTGGGCATGCACACATACATGCATGGTGTGAGTTTAAGGTACCAGGTCCAGGACTTGAACCACAGTCGACTACATGGGAGTCCAGTGACATAGCCATTACACCAACTGCTGGTCCCGGGGTCTGTCTCTTCTATTGCACATGTTCAGTTTATTTATACCAAGGGCTTTTCGATACTTACATTAAACTTGATAAACTGTTATAAACTGGTACTGTTTTGTTGTTCTAATTGTTCTACCTTTGGTTATTGGGAGCTGTTCCCATGGCATACTCCCAGCAGTGTCAGTTGTGTGTTTAACACTTCCCTTTTGTTATTACAGTATGTCTCACTCTAATCTTGTATATTTCCTGCTCAAATTCTAGAATCAGTCATTTCTCCAAGAAGCCCTGATTCCTTTTTTGTTTTCTTTTTTTTTTAAGGTTTTTGCCTTGGGCCATGTACAGTCACCAGAGAAAGAGGGAAAGTGAGCAATCACGGGGATGTGGGGGTGGGGGAGTGGGGATGGCCATACCACAATCCCTTCTTCTCCATTCTTCTCTTAGGATTTGGGGCATGCATGCGCATGGGTCTGCCATGATTTTCAAGCTGCCAGGTCCAGGGCGTAAACCATGTTTGGCCTTGTGGGAGGGAGTCCAGCACCTTAACCAGGATGCCACCTCCTGGTCCCTGCCCTGATTCCTTTTAATGGAGAATGGTATTAGAAAAAAAAACCTAGGTGCTAGGTGTGCTTATTGCTACTGAGGTGTCAACTATAGTATTTAAAAGCAGAAGTAACCTCCTGGCATCATGTCATTTAATTCCTAAAAATCTCCCTATCTCTCTATAAAATAAGGATATTACATAACTAAAATGTCAAATGACTGTATTAGTTGCCTATAGCTGCAACAAGAAATTACCACAGATTTGGTGATTGAAAACAATGGAAACTTATCCTCTCTTTGTTCTGGAGGTCAGAGATCTGAATTGGCTGTTAGCAAGACCTGATTTCCTCAAAAGGCTTTAGGAGAGACCAGCAGTTAGCATAATGGCTATGTCGCTGAACTCCCATGTAGCCAACCGCGGTTTGAGTCCCACACCCAGTGGCTTAAACTCACGCCGGGCACGTGTGCGTGCGTGCCCAAGATCCCGAGAGGAGAATGGAGGAGAGATTGTGGCGTGGCCATCCCCCCTGGGGGGGGGTGTGATTTCTCGCTTTCTATCTCTCTGTCTCTCTCTTTCTGGCAAGCGCACATGCCCTACAGCAAAAAAAAAAAAAAAAAAATCTCTCCAAAGGAAAAAAAAAAAGGCGGCTTTAGGAGAGCATCTATTCCTTGCCGCCTCCAGCTTCTGGTGTCTCTAGGTGTTCCTTGGCTTGTATCCACATCATTCCAGTCTCTGCCTCCGGATCATATTGTCTTCTCTTTTTTGTTAGAAAAGATCCTTTCATCTATGTGTTAGATCTCCCTCGGCCTCACTCTTGCAGGGACACTTGTCGTTGGATTTAGGGGCCACCTTGATATTCCAGGGTAAACCCTTTCTCTGATCACCTTAATCGTATCTTTTACCATCTAAGGTAATGTTTTTAGATTCCTGGAGTTAGGAAATGGATATATCACCATACAGCTCACTATAATGACTAACAAAATTAATTGTGGTTTCTTTTTTTAAAGGTTTGTGTTGTTTAATTTACCTTTATTTCATGAAAGATATATAGAGAAAGAGAGTGTGAGAGAGATGGGCCCCCAAACGAGGCCTTCCTGCCACCATCCACTTCCAGTGTCTGTCGGCATGTCCAGGCCCTTTCTCACGTGGGTTCAAGCACACACCACTGCACAGCCACCTGGCCCTGTAAGTGTGGTTACTTAACACGGTCTGTGTTCTTTTTTTTTCTTTTCCTAAATTTGCTGGAGGGCATGTACATTCACCAGAGAGAGACAGACAGAAAGGGAGAGGGAGAAAGCACCTCCAACGGAGTGTGGTCTCGCTGTAATTCCGTCTCCATTTCTCTCTCCTGCCATGATTTTGGGCATGCACACATGCTCAGAGTGGTGTTTTCAAGCTATAGGGACCAGGATTCACATCCTGTGAGTAGCCTCGTAGGGTCTTGCGTGCTCTATCACCAATCTACTGGCTGACCTATTGTCTATGTTATATATATATATTTTTTGGAGAGGTTTTTGCTATAGGACTCGTGCGCTCGCCAGACAGACAGAGACAGAGAGATAGAAAGCGAGAAATCACCCCCCAGGGGGGACAGCCACGCCGCAATCCCTTCTCCTCCATTCTCCTCTCGGGATCTTGGGCACGCACGCACACGCGCCTGGCGTGAGTTTAAGCCACCGGGACTCGAACCACGGTCGACTACGTGGGAGTCCAGCAACATAGCGATTATGCTAATTGCTGGTACCATATTGTCTATGTTCTTAATGTCCCCTGTCCATATTCAGATTTTTCCATTGTCTCAAAAATACTTTTTTCCAGTTTGTTTGAATCAGGATCCAAAGTGCATTCATTGCATTTGACTATGTCTCTTCAGTCTCTGATAATTTAACACATCCCCTCCCTTTTTTTAAAAGAATTATTTAATTTTCTTCCTTCTTTCTTTTTTTCTTTCTTTCTTTATTGTAATTTGGCCAGAGAGGGACAGAATAAGAGAGAGAGAGGTAGAGAGAGAGAGAGAGAAAGTGAGAAAACAAGCCGCCGGATCTGAGACTGGAATCGCAGTTGGCCGTGTGGGATTCCACCATGTCACCTGCTGGCCCCATCTCCCCGTTTTATACTCTGAAATTGTTGAAGAGGATCAGCCCTGTGGCAAAGTGGTAGTATGCTGCTCAAGAGAAGCTGGATCCACAGGACAGCTGCAGTTTGAATTCCCTGCACCATCAGTCTGAAATAAACTGGATGTAATGAGCGGAGGAAGAGGAGCACAGCTGACTAGGCCCCGTGGAGGGGGCTCTTCTCCCCCCACCCTGTCTATGCACATGTTCTGTCATGAATAAAGAAAAATTGTCGAAGGAGGAGGAGGTCATTTCTCCTGTAAACTGGCCCACATTCTAGAATTGATTGCTTTCTTGTAATGTCTCTATTTTCTATAAACTGGAAGTTAGAGCTAAAGCTTGGTTAGATTCAGGTTTAACTTTTTTTTTTCCTTTGGCAAAAATACACTGTACTTCATAAACATTACTGTGTGATTCAGACTGCATCACATCAGGAGACAATGTATCACTGTCCAGTGTTTGTGATCTAAGAGTCGTTAGTATACACAGGTGATGGCAGACACCGGGGTAAAGTTCCTCCATCAATCATCTAGTAGTTTTAACATCCTTCAGTGACGGTTGCCAGAATCAATTATTTGTTTGCACTGGGTCAGATTATCTTCATTAGGTTAGTTTCATCTTTGATTGTTTCCTTTATTTTTGTAACTGATTAATTAGAAAAGATCCTTTCACCCTCCAGCTTTCAAATCTCCCACTCTATCAAGTTCGAAGACATCTGAGACAGGCGGCATGACCTATCTTGCCCGGGAGATAATGAGATAATGAATTGAGCTGTTACTTTCTGAAGCTTACACTTGAAGCCCATCAAGCAGGTGGTTGTAATTCTGGCCTGCTGGGTGCGCTGGAAGGATGCAAAGTGGGTCAGGCGAGCGCCCCTGTCTTGGGATCAAACTTAAAAGGCTTTAACTGGAAATTCTCTAATAGACCCTGGCTCCCCTTGATTCCATGAGGGCGAACTGAGGCACCGCCAAGAAAGAGTCCATGGGGGCGAGGCGGAATCAGGGGAAAAGAGGGGCGTCCCGATTCCCGGAATGGAGTCTCCGAGCTTTACTACGGGACTACATCTCCCCGGATTCCGCCGGCCCGGCCCCTCCCGGGCCTGCTGTCTGTCCGCTGGGGGCGCGCGCAGTGGGTGGCAGGAGGCGGCGGCCGAGTGCGCGGGTCGCGTGGCGCTGCGTGGTTGCCAGGGCACCTGCGGCCGCTCGCTTGCCCAGCAGGCCCAGGGAGGAAGCAGATGCAGAGTGGAGCCGGCGCCTACCGGGGCGAGCTGGGTGCCCGAGGTGAGTGTGGCCGCCGAGCGCAGAGACCGACCCCAGACCCTTCGCTGGCCCGACGCTCCCGCCCCTTCCTCCGCCCCGGTCCCTGGCCCCGCTTCCGGCCCGTTCCTCTCCATCGCCGGGGCAGCGAGGGGCTGCGGCCTCCTGCCCACTCGGGACTGCGGCCTCCTGCCCACTCGGGACTGGGCGCCTCGGCGCCCTGCGGAGCCTTCTGTCCCCCCGCCACGCCCGGGGAGCGGTGGCCTCGGCTCTGGGTGCCCGAGCCCTGCAGCATCCCCTCGTCCCAGGCGCCGAGCCGCCTCTTTCCCGCCGTGCTGCGGTTTAAATTCTCCTCGCCTGGGTGTGACCCCGAGCTCCTTCTAGGCATCAGGGCCGAACTGAGCATGGACACCCCATTTTTCTCCCGCATCCTCAGTATCGGGAGACACTTTACTAAACTGCACGGATGCAAACAGAATCCGAGATCCTGGGAACTGAATTGCTTATCCACCTACCCCTTCTGCATTTAATCAGCCACTAAACAGTGTTTAATAACCACCGACAAGTGTTCTCGGAGCCTGGGTATGTGGGAGGTACTGAGGGGACACAATGGCCAACGAGACAAGCATGTTTTCACAGAGCTTACAGTCTGAGGGAGGTTTTTAATCAGGTAAAGAAGCACTTGTGTGTGCTCCAATGGAACAGAAACAATATTTAATCCCGAAGTGATTGGAAAACTACAATATCCACATTCCCCCCTGGTCGTCAGATTCCCTTTCTGGTCTAGGCACGTTTTAGCCCCCAAGGGAGTCATCCCTGCTTTCCCCGATACTCCCCAGTCTTTAACTTCAGCACCGGTTGATCTAGCCAATCAACACGCATCTGTAGGACCCTTCGGGACGATGTCCAATCCCATCCTTCCATTTTTGCAAGAAACTCTAAGACACCGTTTGCATAAAAATTACCCCCTGGGTGCTCAGAAAGTCACCAGATACTTAACTTAACCTTGAACAATTATCAAGTGTTTTCTGGGAATAAAGAGGGGGGGAGGAGATTTCAGATACTTAAGTGGCTTTAAAAAAGGTACACTGCCAGGCCTTAAAAAGAAGTGCAAACAGACAAACCTGGTCTGTGTTGGAAGGGAGCCAAATGGTGGCAGCTAGGAAGCGAAGTTGCTGGGGTTAGATCACAGAGGGCCTGGCATGTTCTGCTGATTTGGAACTGTATCTGGAGCAGTGTGGGTTTTTGTTTGTTTTAAACAATAGGGAGCATGTGCTCATCCGTGAGAGATAGAGATCAACCCTCAGGGGGAACAGCCTTGGGGCAATCCTTTCTCCCTTCTCCTTTTGGGATTTTGAGCACACACACTCGTCCACTGCCTTGTGGGGGACTCAGACTGTGCAGTGGGCTACAGGGAATGCAGCCCCGCCGCCTCCACCACCATACCGCCCGGGAGCAGTGGTTTTCAAGCTGGGCCCAAGACTTCGAGGCTTATGTCTACATATACACCGTTACTTGAATACACTTCCAGATCCTCGGCTTCCACCTGATCTCATTTATAAAACTGCCCTTATTTAAAAATACGGGGGAGGGCAGGGGAGGTGGGAGGCACAGCCCTCGTATTTCCAGAATTTTATTAGAGTGTGCAGAAACATTGATTTCAGGGGAGCTTTATTTTGCGATTCAGTTACTCCTCAAACCCAGAAGGCCTTCTGTCTTTCCTTGGTATACACACCGCTCATAGAGTGAAGCTTGTCCCTTGTTGAAATATTCTGATTCAGAAAAGCAAAACAATGTAACTGGAATTTTTTTTTTTTTTTGACCATAGGTTTTTAAAGCTGTATTGGATAAAACTTGCAAAATATTTTAAAGAGACTTTATTTAGATACAGTTAAAGCCTTTCTTTTTTTTAGGTTTTTGCCGTAGGGTGCATGCACTTGTTAGAGAAGAGAGAGACAGAGAGGGAAAGTGAGAAATCACCTTCTAGTGTTGATAGCCATGTCACAGTCCCGGCTCCTCCATTCTCTCAGGACTTTGGGCGCATATGCACCCAGTGTTTTTCAAACCTCTGGGTCTGGGACTTGAACCTCGGTCGGCCATGTGGGAATCCAACTACCTTAACCACCATGCCACCTGCTAGCCCAGTTAAAACCTATTTTTATCAAATCAAGTCATGAAATGTTTATTCCAATTCCAATTAATTTTTTTTCTTTTTAATAGATTTTTGCTGTTGGGCATGTGCACTTACCAGAGAGACAGAAAGTGAAAAAAAACAAAACAAAACAAAACAAAACAAAAACCTCCCAGGGGATATAGCCACACCACAATCCCTTCTCCTGAATTCTCCTGGGATTTTGTGCATGCATGCACATGTGCCCAGCCTGTTTTAAGTCTCTGGGTCTGGGACTTGAACTGTGGTCACCAGTCACCTACATGGGAGTCCAGTGATGTAACCATTACACCATCTACTGGTCCCACAAGTAATTTTTTTTTTCCATGGAGAGGTTTTTGCTATAGGGCGTGTGTGCTCACCAGAAAGACAGAGACAGAGACAGAAAGCGAGAAATCACCCCCAGGGGGATGGCCATGCCGCAATCCCTTCTCCATTCTCCTCTTGGGATCTTGGGCACGTACACACATGCATCTGGCATGAGTTTAAGCCACCAGGTCCAGGACTCAAACCGTGGTCGGCTACATGGGAGTCCAGCGATGTAACCATTACACTATCTGCTGGTCCCAACATTTTACTGTGATTCAAAAAGATGAGTGAGAAGAGTGGTGTTGTTTGGTTTTAGAGGATTTTGCCTTAGAGTGGTGTGTATGGGTGGTAGGACAGAGACAATGAGAGGGAAAGTGAGAAATCACCCCTCGGGGTATGGTCAAGCTGAAGGTCCTTCTCCAGGGATTCTGGGCATGCATGCTCACGCCCTCAGTGTGTGTCTGAAGCTACTTGGTCCAGTACTCAAACCATGGTTGGCCATGTGGGAGTCCAGCTATGTAGCCACTGTGCCATCAGCTGGCCCCAGAGCACTGGTGTTCTCTGGAATTTCTTTAGCGTCTGACTTAATGAAAGAGAGCTGGATTTTCACATCTGTTTCTTCATTAGTCCATTGTGATATGTTGCTTTGGTTGAATTATGAAGAAAATTGAGCTCAGATAATTGGTTGGAAAAGGGAGGAGTATATCTTCTCAGATACTTGTGGGTATTCCTTTTTGGTACTGAACAAGGAGTGATTTCGTAAAGGGTAGTTTCAATGTAGAATCTGATGAGGTCTGGGAACCAGCAGTTAGCATAATGGCTATGTCGCTGGACTCCCACGTGGTCGACTGCGGTTCACGTCCCAGACCTGGTGGCTTAAAACTCACGCTGGGCACGTGTGCATGTGTGCCCAAGATCCCCAGAGGAGAATGGAGGAGAAGGGATTGCGGTGTGACCATCCCCCCTGGGGGATGATTTCTCGCTTTCTGTCTCTATGTCTCTCTCTGTCTGGCGAGCGCATGCGCCCTATAGTGAAAACCTCTCCAAAAAAAAAAAAATCTGATGAGATCTAATTTTTTTCGTATTATGCTATTGTACATTAAAATTCATTGATCTGGAGCCAGCAGGTGGCAGAGTATTCCACATGGCTGACCAGAGTTCGAGTCCCGTACCCAGTGACTTGGAAATGATGCCAGGAATGTATGCAGGCATGCCCAGAATCCCAGGAGGAAAGTAGAGGAGAAGGGATTACTGTGTGGCCATCCCCTGGGGGGGGGGTTATTTCTCTTTCTCTCCAGCGAGCACACACCCTCTATGGCAAAAGCCTTAAAAAAAAAAAAATGTAAAAATCCATTGGTCTATTTCTAACTTCTGATCTTATACTAATGCATGATTGTCTAATTAAATTTGGCTCTAAGCCCCCTGGCAGACAAAGCAAAAAAGGGGAGATATGGTCAGTTGCATAGTGCTTATTATTAGATGAGAAGAAACATACTAGTTACTCAGGGGAAGTGCATGTATTTTTCTTGTACTAATTTCTCAAGGAAATCATGCTGGAGGGGCCTCATATGGGAAACACTAAGTGATGTCATATAGTGTACTCAATTGGAGTCCTACGGGCAAGAATAGAATCCCCCTTAAAAATCAGGACACCATATTAAAATACTGTCTATTAATTTAGGCGGTTTGTAAGCCCAAGTATGAAGCTTTCTGTTAGTCCAGCTCCAGTGGAGGTGTGAATGAATGACTCTTTTGTTAAGGCTGGATACATGGTTTAATGTTTCCTTTTAAGTGGAAGGATGGAAAGGCAGGGGTAGGATGAGGTAGTTGAAGGTAGATGCATTGTCCTGGCCCAGATCATCTCAAACAGGCCATAGATCTCCCCTAACCAAGTTACAAGAGTTATAAGGTAAGCAGCTGTTACTTTCCTCCAATTCCAAACAGGATCTGGAGTAAATGAAGACACACCTTCACATAGGAAGTTATCTCCAGCAATATACACCTTTGTAAACAGAGATTAATATAGTCTTTTATTTATTTATTTATTTTTGAGATGCTTTTGCTATAGGGCACGTGCGCTCGCCAGAGAGACAGAAAGCGAGAAATCACCCCCCGGGGGGATGGTCACACCGCAATCCCTTCTCCTCCATTCTCCTCTCGGGATCTTGGGCACGCACGCACACGCGCCCGGCGTGAGTTTAAACCACTGGGTCCAGTACTCAACTGTGGTCGACTACAAGGGAGTCCAGAGACATAGCCCTTATGCTAACTGCTGGTCCCCATTCTCTAATATATGATTGATACAATGTTCCAGAGATCCTCTACATTGCCACATTTTTATACAGTAGCAAAAAGATGATTTATATTATCTCTACAATCTGCAGCAAAGCGGTTAAGTATTGTATTGAGGAGCCATCAAGCTCATGGTGGCAGATACAATGTTGCCAAAGTTTTTTTGTTTCTTTTTGAACCTCACATTTTATCACTGGCAACAAATACTGTCTGTCAGTTGTTATCCTTGAAGTGACAGGCTCACTTTGTTTTC